GAAACTTGTCAGCGAAGTCCTCACTTTCTTGTGCCACTGGGGTGATGGACAAGGCCACCAAAAGGTCTTGCAATCCATGGATAAGGTCAAACATGACCACAATGAAACTGGTCGATTCGATGCTTGGATGCGTATTGTCGAGGTCACAATCGACGGCCGTGGAAAGATGGGAAGTCTGGTCGGTGCTAGTGAAGAGTACCGCAGCGGAGGCATTGGCATGGAAAACCTCCTCATGGAGTACGCGGTCTCAACCATGATCCTCATCAATATGCTGGTCGACGGAGCAGAATCGGACCTGCAGCTGCGTTGCCACATCCGCGCCCAATTCACATCATGTGGAATCAAGCGCCTGTTGACGAAGATGGAGGGATTCCAGTATGAGGTTATCGACAAGCAAATCGAGCGGTTCCGCGAGAATGAGGCCATCGATTACGAGGACCTCCTCCAGCGGGAGGGCAGCAGCATGAAGGATAGCATCGAAGGCGAAGTCAAGGACATGAGCGATCCTATGCAGATCGTCGATGCAATCACGTCCAAGATCAACGGCAGCCGGTCCCACGACTACTTCCTCTCAGCTATGCAACACATGCTCCTCATCAGGGAGAACTCCGGCGAGGAAGGGCTTCGTATGTTCCAGCTGGTAGATGCCATGCTGAGCTATGTGGCCATGGACCGTAGGCTGCCCGACCTTGATCTCCGGCAGGGCTTGACCTTCACTGTACAGAGTCTGCTAGATCGGTTGCACACCGATGCTGAGGCAAGACGGGTCTATGACGAGTCTCTCGAGGCCCGGCAGATCGCCGAGGCTGCCATTGCTGAGCGCGATGAGATGCGAGCGCAGGTTGAGCTCGGCGCAGATGGCCTAGTCTTGAAATTGCAAAAGCAAATCGATGAACAGGCTGGTATTATCGAGCTGCAACAAAGGCAAAATGAATCCTTCAAGGCCGAGGTTGCAGAAGTACAACGACTGCGTGCTCAGGAATTGCAGCGCAATGAGCTGGAAACCCGAGAACTATACCTTATGCTCCGAGATGCCCAGGATATCGCCGCTTCCAATGCCCGAAAGGCTAACAACCCTGAGACGGTGGAGGCAGCTGATCCTTCCCAGATGCCCGGTATCATGGACCGCGAAAAACTCATGGAACGTCTGGAACGCCAGCTCGAGCGGACCAAAACCCAGTTCAAGCTGGAGGGCAAGGTCTGGGGCCAGCATGGACCATCTGACCGACTCCGTGAGCTGCGCGAGAAGATGGAAGGCGAAATGGATGACAGTGAGGACTTTACTGAAACTACCCGCCGAAACCTCGACCCTGGTTCTTTGGGATCTGTTTACCGCAAGCGCAGCCATATCCCTACGATGGACTCGACTCTGGAAGACGAGGAGGACATCCCAGTGGATAGCAATGGCGAGCCGATGTACGAGAGGCCTCGTCTGGTCGAAATGCATCGCCCTCGGTTGAACCCTGCCCAGGCTACCGGCTTGCTAGGCGAGATTGCTTCCAAGGTTCCTAAGTTTGATGCTGAAGATTCCGATGTCATTGAAGGGGAACACGTCCTAGAAGACAATGAAGCTGCTACAAAGGCTATGCCGCCGCCGCCGCCTCCTCCTCCTCCTCCAGGTGGTAAGATTGTTCCTCCACCTCCGCCGCCGCCGGGAGTTATGGCTCTTCCCCCACCTCCGCCGCCAGGAGGCAAGATTCTTCCACCTCCACCCCCACCAGGAGGCTTGGCTCTTCCCCCACCGCCTCCCCCGGGTGGAAGGGTTGGTATGCCTCCTCCCCCACCGCCTGGCGGAATGGCTCTCCCCCCGCCGCCTCCACCAGGTGGTGCCAAGGGTGTTCCTGGACTGCCGCCTCCTCCTCCACCCCCCGGTGGGAGAGTTGGATTGCCTCCGCCTCCGCCTCCAGGTGGTGGTGGATTTGCTCCCCCCCCTCCCCCTATGCCTGGAGCCAAGGGCTTGATGATCCCCCCGCCTCCACCCCCTGGCGGCGCTTTAGGTGCAGGTTGGAGACCGGCATACATGGTTGGAGATGTTTCACCATCTACAATCCACATGCCATCCATTCGACCTAAGAAGAAGCTCAAGGCTCTGCATTGGGACAAGGTCGATACTCCTCAAGTGACTGTTTGGGCTGGTCACGCACCGACTGCCGAGCAGAAGGAAGAAAAATATACCGACCTTGCCAAGAAGGGTGTATTGGATGAGGTTGAGCGATTGTTCATGGCCAAAGAAACGAAGATCTTTGGAGCCAGCACTGGCGCGAAGCAGCGCACGGCCAAGAAACAGATTATCTCGAACGATCTATCCAAGAACTTCCAGATTGCCCTGTCCAAATTCTCTCAATACCCGGCCGAGGAGGTGACTCGCATGATCATCCACTGTGACAAGGATATTTTGGATAACAATGTCGTTATGGACTTCTTGCAAAGAGACGAAATGTGCAGTATACCGGAGAACGTCGCCAAGCTTATGGCACCATATAGTATGGATTGGACGGGCCCCGGTGCCGCTAGTACCGATCGTGAACAAGATCCCTCCGAGATCACTCGCGAGGACCAGATCTATCTCTACACTGCATTTGAGCTAAATCACTACTGGAAAGCAAGAAACAGAGCGCTTGCTCTGACCCGCACCTACGAACCAGAGTACGAGCACATCTCCACAAGGCTACAAGAAGTCGCACGAGTCAGCGAGTCCTTGCGAGACTCTGTGTCATTGATGAACGTGCTCGGTCTGATTCTCGACATTGGAAACTTCATGAACGACGCCAACAAGCAGGCCCAGGGTTTCAAGCTGAGCTCCCTCGCCCGGCTGGGTATGGTGAAAGATGATAAGAATGAGACTACCTTTGCCGATCTGGTCGAGCGTATCGTGCGGAACCAGTACCCAGAGTGGGAGGGCTTCCTCGACGAGATTAGCGGTGTCATTGGCCTGCAGAAGGTTAATGTCGATCAGCTCCGCTCTGACGCTATCAAGTACATTAGCAACATTAAGAACGTACAGTCGAGCTTGGACGCTGGTAACCTGAGTGATCCCAAGAGGTTCCACCCCCAGGATCGTGTTAGCCAAGTCGTCCAGCGATCCATGAAGGATGCTAGACGGAAGGCTGAGCAGCTGCAGCTCTACCTGGATGAGATGGTCAAGGCTTATGACGATATCATGGTCTTCTACGGCGAAGACAACGCAGACGAGAATGCTAGACGAGACTTCTTTGCTAAGTTGAGTGCGTTCTTGATCGAATGGAAGAAATCGAGAGAGAAGAACACATCCTTAGAAGAATCCAGAAGGCGCACGGAAGCATCCCTCGCCCGCAAGCGAATCAATGTCAACCTCGCCAACAACACTCCCACTGCAGAGGCAGCGCAATCGCCTGCTTCAAGTGGCGCAATGGATTCGTTACTTGAGAAACTGCGTGCTGCAGCACCTCAAGCCAAGGATCAACGAGACCGCCGCCGTCGTGCTCGTCTAAAGGAGCGGCATAACGTCCGCGTAACTTCGGGCTCCAAGCCACCACCTGATTCGGGCGAGGCGGAAGAAGGCGAAGAAGGGGCCGAAAAAACAGCCAATGGAGAAAACAACGACGAGAATGATCTTCTCAGCCCTCCAATCACTGCAGAGGAAGATGGAAAGCAGGAAGGTCAAGTGTCCGAAGGCGAAGACGTTGCCGATCGTGCTGCCAGCATGCTTCTCGGCCTGAGAAGTAATTCCGATGCAGGTGGTGGCGAGCGCCAGAGACGGAGAAGAGAAAGCGCAGACGAAGAGCGTCGTAATCGCCGCATGAGACGCCGCAATCCCGCTACAAGCGGGAGCAAAGATAGCGCGGATGGCTCTAGCGGCCTTGCTACAGTTCAAGAGCCTGCTTCTCCGCAGGCAGACTCGACGGCCACAGACGACCAACAACTCCCCAGCCCACCGAATGAGTCTCAACCTCCGCCTTCAATTGTCGTGTCGGAGCAAGACGATTCATTATCACAGGATCCCTCAATTGACGGTTCCTCTCCTCACAAACCAACCGATTTGTCGGATTGAGTCAAATCACCGACAGCCGATTTAATTTAATGTTTTATCGATTCCCATTGATGACGCATCGGATCCATACCCAAATGGTTTCCACCGCTATCAACACCACCACTCACTACTACTACAACCGCCCTCGATTGTATAATACCCATTCCCTACCTACACTACTCTTTGAGCCGCCCTCCTTGATTTGACGAGCCGAGCATGGTGTGATGATACCATTTCTTTGTTTCTTCTTTTCCTTTTCCTCCTAACAGTATCCCTTCATGTGCAATCATTATCTTTTTTCTTTTCGTTATCCACTCCCGCATACCCATCTCACACCGACTCCCTGTCTCTCTCTCTCTTTGTACATAATCTCTTTCCCCTGTCTTCATCAAACGCTACCTGCCATGGAAATGTCGCCATGATTGGAGGGCGTATCATCGAATTGCACATTGAGCCTGATGCTCAATGTTTCCTGCATTGTCACCTTGTTCTTTACTGCCTACTTCGGAGCGCAGGTGTGATCAAGTTTTATATCTGCTGTGTATCCTTGACCGGAGCTGCATTAGATGGACTGCCACTCCTTATGCCTTTCGGGATCGGGATCTAAATACCCGCAGTTAGGCAAAAACTATGTTCTCGGATCTCCTCCAATGTTGGCACACTTGTAGTTCGTACTCGTATTTTGTATAGTTCTTATCAATCACGTGCATGCCCTATCGCAAGATAAACATTGAACCAACATTTGGACATTTTGAACATTTGAATACTCTTGACATTTTACCAATATTTCGTTGGTTCAATCTTGCGCATGCGAGCATCTCACCGAGTACTGCGTTGGGCATCTCCCTTCGGCCCATCAAGGAGTCAACCATGGCAAACGACACCAAATAAATCATATATCCGACGTCATGGCTTTCTCTCCGAATTGCCAGGCCCCCGGCGGACTCCCGGACTAGCTCGAGCTTTCTCGTCGACTCGCCCTGCTAGATTCATGCTAGACGGAGACTCTACAATCTATGCGCTCTCTACTGCAACCGGGCGAGCAGCCATAGCAGTTGTGCGCGTATCGGGTCCGGCCTGTGCCTCGGTACGTATTCCCTCAAGACAAACCAAATCATCAAATCACCCCTCTAACAACGCTATCCAGATATACAAAAGTATCTGTCCAAACCACCCACTTCCAAAACCACGCTATGCAGTTCTCCGCACCCTTTACGACCCAACCCAACCCCCAACTGCAAACACAATTCTCGATGCCGGAGCCCTAGTCCTCTACTTCCCCTCCCCACGAACCGCAACAGGCGAAGACATCCTCGAACTACACATCCACGGTGGACCCGCAATAACAAAAGCCGTGCTCTCGGCAATCGCACAGACAAACACCCCGGAACAAACGGTGCGCTACGCCGAACCAGGCGAATTCACCCGCCGCGCCTTCATGAACGACCGCCTCAGCCTGCCTCAGATAGAAGCACTCGGCGACACACTCTCTGCCGACACCGAGCAACAGAGACGCCTAGCCGTGCGCGGCTCGAGCGACGCATTGCTGAACCGGTACGAGCGGTGGCGCCAGGGTCTGCTGTATGCGCGCGGCGAGTTGGAGGCCTTGATTGATTTTTCCGAGGACCAGCATTTTGACGAGTCCACTGAAGAGCTTGTTTCGTCTGTTGCGGGCCAGGTGCGCGCTCTGAGCGTGCAAATCGGGTTCCATATTGCTAATGCGTCGCGGGGGGAGCTGCTTAGGAATGGGATTCGGGTTGCGCTATTGGGTGCGCCTAATGCTGGCAAGAGTTCGTTGCTTAATCAGGTTGTTGGGAAGGAGGCTGCTATTGTGAGTACTGAGCAGGGGACTACGAGGGATATTGTTGATGTTGGGGTTGATCTTGGAGGATGGTATTGTAAGCTTGGGGATATGGCGGGTATTCGGGCTGAGAGTGGTTCTGGTGATGGAGAGCAGGTTGTTATTGGGGCTGTTGAGAAAGAGGGAATTCGCCGGGCTAGAGAGAGGGCTTTGGAGTCAGATGTCGTTATTGTGGTTGTTTCGCTGGAAGACACTGCCACTGGTGCTCGGCTATTCGTTGAGCCGGAAGTTCTTGGTGCTGTTAATGACTGCATTGAGGCGGGAAAATGTCTCGTCGTGGCCATCAATAAGTGCGACAAGCTACAAACTCCTTTGAAAAGTGGTGTGCCGCAGTCATTGTCTGATACGATCCACGACATCTTCCCTTCGGTCCCGGTAGACCGCGTGTTTGCAATTTCCTGCGAGGAAGCCAAGCGAGGAGCATCATCTCTCAATACCACTACAGACCCAGGTAATTTACAGGTCTTTCTACGTGGACTAATTACGACTTTTGAGCGGATTGCCTCGCCCCTTGGCATGGACCGAGATGGAGATGGTCAATATAATCTTTCGTATTGGGAAGATTCTCTAGGTGTCACGCATCGCCAAAGCTCTAATCTACAAAAATGTCTCGATCATCTGGACGACTTCCTATCCCAAGCCTCACCTGCTGGATGCCCTGATGATTCCTCCCGCGAGGAAGAACTCGGCTCTCTTAATACCCATGTTGAACATGAGGTCGATATCGTCACTGCTGCGGAACATCTGCGCTTTGCGGCTGATATGCTGGCCAAGATCACCGGAAAAGGCGAGAGTGGAGACGTCGAGGATGTGTTGGGAGTTGTCTTTGAGAAGTAAGTACTGGAGGATCTTGATCTTGGTTTGCTGGTCCGGATGGTGAGCTGACTGTCGTAGATTCTGCGTCGGCAAGTGAACACTTCGATTCAAAGGATGGTTCCGATGACGAGGTCGACTTGCACGCTGTCACATGGTGACATGTTCGGCAATAGTCATGAAATCAAATGATTGCACATTGCAATTGAGATGATTGAAATGATCGCTGGGAGTGCATTGTTCATCATGGACGTTCTGGACACCCTAATTTTGGCCAGGCAGAAGCTTGGGGCATGGGTGGTTGGCGGGAGCATTATAACCCCCTCGACCCATTGCAGGAGACATCATGATGAATGATTTAGGCAGAGATGATTGCTGGAATAGCTTCAAAGTGGTAGATGGGAGGTGATGTGTCGGCGAGGAAGTTGCAAGCCGATGCAATTGTGTATGAATAGCAGCTCGATAGACTAATAATGTATGCAATGATTCAAAAAACAAGGCCTCTTTCGATCATCAACCCGATACTTATAGAAAGAAAAGGGACCCCAAAATTGTCTGCCTTGGTTGCCGGGGCCCCATTCATCATCATCATCCCAGGCACCCAGGAATGAACCCGGGAAGTTCAGTTCAGAAAATTAGCCACAACAACTGTATTGTCCTTGTCAAAGATGCAGAGAAGTCTGTCAAACATGAATGATCTATCTGAGTCAGGATCCAAATACGGTCTCCGCAAAGTACCTACATAGTACTTAGTGGGAGTCTCAGTTAGGCCAGATGTACCAATACGAAACACCGTACGCCCTAAATTGATACATTCAGCTTTGGGGGCTATTCTTGTCGTCATCGAAGCTACGGTATCATGGATAATTCCAATGCTGAGGCGAGCTTCAGCTGTATAGCCCTGGAGAGAGCCTAGTTTGAGGTTGAAACATGCTCCTGGGGGGGCCGGGGGGGGTGGGTTCGATCATTGTGATTACTCACATAGATACATAGATGTTTCTAGGGGTTTTTTTTCTATTGGTTATTATATCATCTTTATTTACTATTGGACTAAGATACTGTCGGACTTAATGATTCAATTCTAAAACTCATATCAGATCTAAGAATAGCGAGATAGCTGCATGGAATGTCAACCCCTTCTAGAAGTATTGTAAATAGCCACAGAACATAGAAGAAAGATAAAGGCCCTGAAAAAGAAATAAAATAAGATAAAAATAAAAATAAGAAACCCACGTTATGCTCCTGCAGAACTCCCGTCATCCCTTTACCCTGTCGCCGGGGCTGACAACCTTGGAGGTACCTTGCAGCCTTGGACAAGAACAAAACAGGACCCCTAAAAAAATAATTACTATTCTATAATAAGATGATAGTCTAATGGGGGCTGGTGAGGTGTAGAGTAGGCCGGATAACCACCGACCTGGTTGTGCAGGGTGTGCTATGAATAGCTTCATCATCCCTGTCGGTCCATGTGGCTTCTTCCTGTAGGGTTTGTTTAGCTTTATTCAAAGATATGTACTCCCCGCTAAAGATTTGTTTAACCCTTCTTTTTTTCTGTGTTTCTTTGTGTTTTTCTTCAGTGTGTCTATTGTCTAGGGCTTGTTCATTCATGTATAGGAAAATTGACCGAGAAGGGACACTTTGACAGTTGACCGCACACTATGACCTTAGTATACAGAATGTCACCTCGTGTAGGGTTCTATCAATTGCAATATTGATACACAAGCAATACTGAATGGAAGAATTCACTAAGTATCCATGGATGGTATTTGGCAATGTAAACTATTTTACCCATATTCCACGCCATTGCCTTTTCGAACAAGAAACAAGCGACCATGCCTTACTTCACCGTAGCCCACTCCTCCCTCCAAGGAACAAACGAAAAAGAAATCACCGATATCTCCTCTCCTCTCTCTCAAACTGATCCACCTCAAAGCGCTCGCACCGTACCAAGCAGCTCACCACAATTCCAATGGCAAGTTGTTATCAGAATTCATGGCGAATAAAACTCAAAAGTGGATGTAATCTGTACCAGGGCAATTGTAGTACTCAATGTAGAAGTCACGGAGAGCATCCAGGCACTCGGATTTGCCGAGCAAGTGCGAGCAGGAAGGGCTGCGCTCGACATGGTAATAAAGGTATGAAATTTGAGGAAATTGAGCGTGGCATTTGAAGCAGAAGAATGGATTATCGTCGGTGAGATGGTTTCCATAGAAGCCATACTCGGGGCACTCGAAGGCAAGGGTGCGGATACGGTCTTTCTTCACGCAGACACCGTCTTCAAGGTGGAAGAGAAGACCGGAAAATCCTATCCACCTAGTTGGACAGAACCAGCATTCGTAAATTGGAAGACCAAGAGGGTTGGTCGGGTCCTGCTCAGCTGCAGGGTGAAACATGGTGGATAGTGGAGGGTGTAGATGGTTGTGGATGCGAGGAGAGGTGGTTCTCGATGATCGGAAGTGAATTTATCGACGGAAGATAATTGACGGATAGTCGACAGACGATTGATTTAAGATTGACGGTGTGATGGGAAGTGAAGGAGTGAAAGAGGAAGAGGTCGACTTCTGTTTGTTATATAAGTACTTTCTGTTTTGGGATGTTCACAGCGTCTCTTACCTACTTGCTTGATTTCACTTCAATATGTTCCTTCTCTATAATCTTTGTCTTCTTTCTTGAGGTTCTTCTCTCCTCTTAAATTATCCTCGCGCTACTAGCATATTTGAGGTTGGTTCTAGATCCAGGTACACCTACATCCGCTCTCGGTGTTTTATTGACATGGAGTTCAGATAGAACCTTGGAGAAGATTCAATCCATTGTCACTAGGCACTATTATCTCGTTGGATGTCAAGAATAGAGAGCCCCCTAGATGATATCGTTGATATGACAGACCTCATTTGAACTAGAAACAAAATGCTACATCCTGGAAATGGGGTGCCATGAGGTATACACTATTCCGCAGATGCTCGGTCTCAAAATAGTTGACCCTATGCTGTACAAAATATTCCTGGTCTTACTTTGACAAGGTTATCTTACAGCCTTGAGGGTATGTTTATACTTACTCCTCTATACTGCGACCTTCCAACCTTGGGAAGTTCCAAGATTGTCTAAAATCTCAGAATTATTCCCCCTAGGAGTTTTAAGCACGGATCCCGGACCAAAAGCATGATCCTCGATACATGATATACAATCCTGGTACTTTGAGAACAGTGGCTGGGATTCTTCGTACCTAATCTGCGGCGCTACTGTATTAAAGATGCTACTCTTGCTCTTGGATATGGTGATGGGAGAGTTTTCATTGTTGCTTTCCGGACGGATTCACCCTCTTCGTAGTCAGCGTACTCGTGATTATTTTCTATCCTCCATTCAAACACAGGATATGAGATGGCAGGGCACCCTACGGAGTATATTGGGCAGTTATTCGGATGTAGTTTATGATCACGGACCATTTTCCAGATTGGCGAACAGTTGACTCAAGGCCAATTACCGACAGCCGTGGACGCAGGTCCACATTGGACGTACGTCCACGGCTCCTAGTCTAGGTGGGCTTTAGAGCTGTCAACTGGCGGCCACTAGAATATGAGGACCTGTGGGATTGACGCCGAAAATGACCGCTTTTGAGGCCAGAAACGGCTGCCTTTCCACCCGTAACTTTGGACGTCCAGCCGCCCCTTGACCGCCCACTGCCCTATAACACCACTATTCTGCACCCGCCCCTCCGGACTCAGTACCCCATAACACCGAGCAACGTTACCAAAATTTGCTTGGTACTGTGTGACTTGTCAAGGCCTACTCGCTATAGTAGGCGAGGCCGTTAATATAATATACTACTAGATAAGATTCTATAAGGATCGTATGGTTTCTATTGGATAGTGCTAGCTAGGCTAACTAGTTATGGGTTTCGACCCAAAACCCATTTTGGGTTGGGTTCGGGTTACAGTGGGTTGTGCCGGAAGTCTAATGCAAACCCTGCAAACCCTTCGGGATGACAAAGGAGCCTCTGGGATCTCATCTATATATATACTCTCTGGAAGAAATCCCGCTCGGCGTTCGGCTTCGAGTTCTTGCTTCAGTTGGATGAAGCGCCTGCATAGTCATACGCGACTAGCTCTACTGCAACAGGTTAATTGAACTTTTGATTGATTGATTGATTGATTACATAGGTTGGCGCGATGGACCCAAAAGCCTGCCGTAATAGTAGCTTGAAATTGAGGCAAGGGAGTTTCTCTATACAGTAAAGTTGAGGACTGACAGGTCATTTGCATTTCTTTGGGCGTCAATCGACTGCACATCATCGACTTCAGTGCGAAGCACTCAAAGCCCAATATCATGCTTCAGACATCATCTTCAAGCCTTCGTGATTAAACATACATAGGCCTAACTACCCCACGCAATACGCGTTGCCTTTGACAAGATTACTACAAGATGCATCGACATTTCTATTCAGTTGGCGAAACCGACTGACGAGAATACCATACTTGGCCGTGATAGAGACGCAAGAGTCACCTGCAAGATAATTTTAGTCATTGGAACCATGAAAAAAGAAGTCGTATTAGACATACCGTCAGCCATAAGATGCCACTTTGTGCATGTCAAACTTGTCCCAGGTCCTGTTGGGCCAGGAGGACCCGCAGTAGTAGTAGGAGAGGGTGTCGGCGTAGTCGTCCCGTCTTCCCATACCCGAACACATATCGCAAACCCTGCTCGGATATTACTGCATTGGGCATTGACGCTGGGGTTGTACTCGCTTAACTTTGCTTCCGTGATTTTATACTGCACCGACAGGCTTTTGCAAGTATCTCCATTCTCGAGAATATGCCACTTGTTACACATGTCAGAAACGCCTGACTCCGTGGGACCTGGAGGATCAACCCAGCCTTCGGGAATAACCTTTGTGATAGTTGGCAGGCATGACGAGAGTGTATCGGTGGGGCTGGGGAGAACAGGGTCTGTAGGTGCTGGGAAGCAGTAGGGCTCATCGTAATGGCAGTTCAATCTCGACAACCTCCGCATCCTCTGGAATTTCCACGCCTTCGGAATATGTCAATTTTTTGAAAGGAAAGAGAGCAAAGTAAAGGGACTGACTCGTGATGTTGAACATCTCTTCTTGGGTCGGTTGCTCGCCCCTCTTAATTTTGGCGCTGGCAGCCCCATTGTCGAAGACGACCGTGCATCTATTGGGACAAATATGTTAGCAGAGCAATCCACAAAGGGGTTATTTGAAACTTACTTTGAGACTCTCATGAATCCGCCCCAAAGCGGGTGGGGTCGCGTACTCGCATCATTCAGACACCACGCATTGTATGAGATAACTCTATACTTCGAGTTGCCCATGAGATTTATAGCCCCAACAACCTGATCGATCTTGTCTTGAGTACCATCCTCTGAAAGAAGTTTGTGATTGAAAACCTCATAAGCTGGACCAGTGGGTCCAGTGGCCGAATCGGAATTGAAAAGATGGAAAGTATAGCTTTTCCTATTGTTACCGGCATGATTCCATGCGGTGTCAAGATTTAGGATTTCTTCCATTTCCAGTGTGTGCATTTTTACCCCAGTCATCGAGCCATTTTTTCCATGCAGTTTTGGTGTTCCCTTTGCTGTCTACCCATGAGACCTCTTGCTGTACCTGTCTAGGTAGCGAATTTATCGAGCCCTGGGTAAACTGCTGGGGTCCGGGGACACAGCTTCGGCTGTTCATAGTCGGATTGCCACCTTCGTCCATATAATTGAATGGAAACTCGTCACAGCTGAGCCAGTTATTATTTCCTGCAGGTCCGTTCCCCTTTCCTGTCAACACACCAAGAACAGCCGATTGTTTAACACACTTATCAGCCCACGTGCCTTCATATTCCACCTGTTTACCATTCTCATCCGTGATGGAGTATTTGTGCCCAGACTTGCGACCGCAAACCGCCTCTCGATTTGGGCCATTCTCACTTTGGCCTTCGAGACTGAAAGTGGCGCTAAATGGACCGGAGCCAAGACCTGCTTGAGTGAAATACTTCATAATATTCTGGCAAATTCCAGGAAGTGATCTTCCACTCAGCGTCACGTCGGGGAAGTATTTGCAGTTGTACATCATGGCGGGGATGGCACTGATACAGTTTTGGCTTGCATCAACATCCATAGGGTCACCGTCATCATCGTCGGCTCGCTTGCTCTTTGAGTCAGGCTTAGCAGGGTTCCATTCGCAAGACTGGCCTGCACAAGCGCCGCTGGAACATTGACCTCCATCATTGCACGTGAAGAAACTCTTCTTTGCGCCGAAGGCAGCCACATCTTCAAGCGTGCTTCTCTTAGCTAAATTGGGGGAGATTCCAGTGGTTTCAAACCAGTCATCTTCCTCTAGAAGCGTCGTATTGTATATCGGAATGAACTTGTCTGCGCCACCTGATTCTATTAGAAAGGGATTCCGCTTTGACAGCGAGGCGGAGCCATGATGCTCCCATAGAATCTTCTGCCGACCGAGGCCATTGAAAAGAGTCTTTGCTGCAAGAAGTTAGCTTATGAACTGGATAAAGTTAAGATAAGGAATCTTTACGCTTAAGTGCATGACTCCCTAACCACTTGAAACTAAGTAAGATGTTAGCCACATCATAGCAAACTCAAAGTTCTCCTCGGCCCCTTACACTGCTCGACCTCCCAGACCTGTTTAAAACTGTTAACGTCATATTGGCAATGAATCCTGAGGAAGAACTTACCGAAATTGTAGAAATATTTGATGTAAACGCTGTATGATGCGGCAGGTGGATTATCGATCCCACCACTAGCTTGTGCCTCCACCTCAAACCGGAGTGTGTTGTTAACGAAACCAACAATCTGAGAATCGACAATGGTACCACCCTTTTTAATCGGTGCGTTGACCTTGATACCGAGATTCACCGTTTGAAGTCAATATGCACGTTAGCCTCGACACTAGCATCTAGAATCGGAACCATGTCTGTCCCCTCCGATTTCTGTTCGTCCTTGCCCTCTGGCTGAGCAAATTTCTGGAATTCCTCTGCCTCATCCACTTGTGGGAAGAAAATTTCGTATTTTGGGAATGTGACCTTTGCACCAGCTGTCAGCTTTCCTGCAACCCTGGCTCCAGCTTCCATGCCCCCCCCAGAGATCTAAAGTAGGGCCAACAGCAGCAATTCCTTTGATAGCGAGGCCTGGGTAGGAGAGGGTGTCGATGATCTTGATTCTGGGGCTGCGGTATGTCATTTCCGCACTTCCTTCGATCTCGATCACCGCTTGAACCTCTGGTTCGAGCTCAAAGTAGGTGTAGACGGTGTCTATATTAAATGGAACGACACTTCCTTCTGCATAATAAGCCCAACGGGCGTTCATGTCGAATTTTGCGTCCAATGTGATATCCAGTCCAGCCTTTACATTCACGTTTCCTCTGGCACACTGGGCCCGTCTGCTATAGAGTAACATCTTTTTGTGAATTGACATGGGAAGTTTTCCTTTATCTGACTGGCGAATGGTAGTGAGTCTCTTTAGCCAGTCGGGGTAACCACCCCACCAGCGCTTCTCTCGCCGTAGCTCTCGCTTGGTCTTCCCAGAATCAGAGTCAGGACCAGTCATCTCGTCCCAGTAAGGAACAAGATTCGTATAGTCAATGCGTACATTGACCTTTGCGTCTTCCCGGCGGATCAGTTCAAACCGGTAGTCGATAGTCAAATTATACACAGCTGATTCATGTTGATCAAGGGCGCGCTTCTTGATATGGAATTCTAAGAGATCATTCTCTCCGACTGGCACCATAGACACAATCCGCGCATATGGACCTGACCCGATATGACGTGGAAGGGCAATGATGGTATCTAGGGCACCTCCTATGAAAACCTTCTCACAGGCGGCTTCTCTGCCCTTACGACAGTAAATTAAATGAGATGACTCTTCATGTTCAAACACCCAATCCATCAGGTTCGGGTCATCGCGGGTGAGACGCTCTCGCTTTGCGATCGGGTTCCCAGTTCCGTCTTCAGTATGCGTGAAGGCAAAGGCATTTAGAAACTCTTCCTACAGGGCATTCTCATCTCCATCGAGTACGATAAATCCATATGGATCATCGCCCAGATCAGTTTCATCTGGCCCATGTGGATCATCATCGTTGTTGCCATAATTATCGGTGTATTGATAAACAACATCCTCGCCGATTGGATCAGCAAAGATCTTTTTCAAATCAAAGGGAAGGTCCATGTCCGGCTTTGGGTCGCAGCATAATCTGTGTTGAACATCCCCACCAGCTAAGCCACAAGGTGAAAAGCCTGAACCCCTTCGTCCGGGTAATCTAGCTTTTGCTGCAGTGAACTGGGTTGACGGACAAGACGTTTTCGAGCATTCTTCAGCACTTGGTAGTGTTATTACGTTGCCATCACGTGTCTCGAGCTTCGGAACCCAGTTACAGTTATCAAGCTTGGCTGTTCGAGGTCAGTTTGATTTCACCAGAAAGGAGAGCAAGCACTAACCATCTAGTTCACAGCAGAAATTTTGAAACGAGTCATCGTCGCAAAAGTCTCCCTTGGTGGTAATCGGGTGGTGGTAACCAGTTGAACAGGTTGAAAACACGGTGCAGGGAGACCAATGGCATTTTTGCATCTCTGGTGGCGCGTCGCAGCAAAGAGATCTTTTGGAGTCCCCGGAGCATTTGGTACCACCATCCGCATCGGTAAAGCGATCTGTAAAGAGCTCATTTCTTCCATTGCCACATGTATCTGGGCCTTTTCCACCCTTACATTTAGACGAGCCTACGTCTGGGACACCTTCCCATTTGCAGTTAACGGCTGGGGTCTTGGCTGGACAGTATACCCTCTTGTATGCCCCCTTAGAGCAAGCTTGCGAATTGTGGGATAGGTATCTATACAGCTCAAAGGGTGATTCACCTGGAGCGTGCACATATGCCACAGTCACATCGCCTGAGTTGCACTTGGAGCTTCCCTCAATTGTTGCCTTTGCCCCAACACAGGCTGAAGTGACGTAGCATTTGTCTCCTGTGAGTCCACCTATCTCGTCGACAAGAGCCTCTTTCTCTTCGTCACTTAGGTCCCCACCTTCTAAAAGAGTTCCAGAAACGTACTTATCGCTAAGTAAACCGGTCAGAGCTTGGAAGTCAGAGGTGTCTTGGTCAATGGCCTAAATCATCACACCACCAAAACACTCTTTGTTTAGCATCTCACGCTTCTTCTCGAAGGTTTCCTCGTCGTCATATGTGATCCATTGATTTTCATCATATACCATGTATTTAACGCCGCTGTCTTCATCGTATCGGATTGTTTTCTCATTCAATCGATGTTGGCGAGCCATGATTTCTGCGATTCTAGTTAGTGACCGCTTTGGAATGATCTATGGTATGAATAAGAATGAGAATTTACCTTTGAATGTGAGGATTCCCTCTTCACCTGAGCACTCTCCACGCAGGCCAGCATCACTGAAGACACAACCTGGCTCGTTACACTTGCTATCGGCCAAGGTGAAGGTTCGCCCATAGAAACCCATTCCTAGAGTGACTTTCGATAAATCAATATCGTTTCTTCGCAAGAGATCGACACCACGCTCGATTTCAGTAATATTTGTATGACCAAACACGTATGGACCCGTCCACTCATTGAACTGATCCCATTTACCACGCATATCATAACTTAGAAAGGTATTAGCACCCACCGAGGAAGATATCCATGCGATGTTAATTGCCTTACCTCATGAGATTGAACCAATCAACGTTAGGCTTAAGGGCGGCAACGTCAAAATGCTGCAGATACCAGTAGCTAGCTGGAATAGCCATAGAAATAATCCAGGCTGAATTCAGTTCTTCGAAAGAGCTACGCATTTCTTTCAACAACGATACGTAGTTCTTGTAATCTGCATCCCTTCCACCCCGATCATCTGAGAGACATTAGTATGCCTCAGCATATAGCTACAGCAAAAGGGCAGATTCTTACCAGCAACAGGGTACTCCCAATCGAGATCAATACCGTCAATATCGTATGTTTGAAAAAGCTTTATCACACTTTTGATGAATTTTTCACGATTATCTTTGGTGGAAGCCATGTCGGACCATGCAGTTCTAGTTGATCCTGAACACAATGATCGATTAGCCAAAAGAAAATTGATGAGAATACCGAAAGATCATACCAGGATCGCTAAAGGCCCATCCACCAACAGCCAGCAAGACCTTAAGTGAACGATTCTTCCTCTTCAGCCGAACAACCCGCTGAATCATCTCCGAGCTGTCAATTGTAACCCGCGAATCATTGATACCACCAAAAGCAATGTTTAAATGTGTCAAGGCCTTCACAGGGATATCTTCGGGACGGAAAGAGTCACAGTCCTTGGTATCTGCCCACGTTTCGTAGTAGGCAATACGCCGCTGCTCCCAGTTAGACGAGCATGTCTTGCGCTTGGGTGATCCACAGTTACTCTGACAGCTATGCTCACCATTGCCAAAAGTGTTTCAGTCTCTACAGACCGCCTTTTAATCTACAATGGACTCCCTCTGAGCTTCTATGACACATTGATAGCAGGAGAAAAGATCTGCCTCGATAATGCATCCAAATGCGTGATCCGCCAGGTTTCCAGTTCTGATACATGCGGATCTCTTACCAAATTGGCTGGTGCTACGATTGACGACCTGATGCTTCAATCTTGGAACCCCACGATCGGAAGATCATGCGCTAATATCAAGACTATGGTTGGAAAATACATATGTATTGGTCCCCCAGGCCAGGACGGTCAATTCACTCCAGTGGCACCGTCTACTACCCCTCCGCCAGTCACAACACCAACAGACAAATACACATGGGGCCCTGCGCCCGACACTATCACGAAAACGGTCAACATCACCACGACCTGGCTATTTCCGACAGATGACAGCCTCATCCCCACCCACACTGCCACTCTCCCTTCAAATGAGGACACCGAAGCAATGAGAGAGCGTTCAAAATTCTGCCCTTTCACAGATGAGTACAACTCTACTAAATGGGACGCCGGGCTTGGCGATGAGGAGTATCACTTGCATTCATGGGATCTTGATGATGAGTGTATTGAGGAGCACTGGGACCCATCAAGTATATAGGTCAAGGCAAAATAGAGCACTCATTGTAGTGAAATGGAAAGTACCTACGATGTACTGCTAGTGAAAGCAGTGACGTCGTGCCATGGCGCTTATATTATGTAGCCTACATGTAGTCTTCCCTGCCTTTTTCTATCTTTCATGCTTTCATTCTTTCTTTCTCTCTTTCTCTCTCGTATTTCCTACACCTCCCCTCCCCCTATTTCTCATATTTTGTGCGAGTTCTCGATCAACCTGAAACAAGTCCTCTCAATTCATAATACAGAATGGAAGAAATCGAGATGGTCCCATTCGGCCACCTGCCTTTCGATTATCATGTTATGGTAAATCTCTCAGAGCGAACAAAAAACCCGATGTAGGTCGCTAATATTGTAACAGGAAAAATGGGATCCCAATTCTCCTCTTACAAAAACCCAACAATTCCGTGCCCTTGTTGAGTCTTGGACTCGGCTTGGCAAAACTGCCCGCATTGTAGCCTTGGACCACACCTTTCTTGGCCATGGATCAACACTGATTGAGATCTAGAAATACCCAGAGGGTGATAATCTGCTTCCCGAGGAAATCCCTCCACATGTGCCTCAAGATCTTATGTCAGATGAAGATCGTGCTGTAGATGGTCAGACAATAAAACTGCTCTGGATTCGGACGTGGTACGGGCGGAAAGATGATCAGGCAAGCCAGGATGCCGCCGATGCTGGATACAAACATCTCCGCATGGTTGTGTTTGGCGACGGAGAATTAAATGACGTGTGTCCGGACATCGAGAAAGAGTGTATCTTTGAGAACAAAGAGGAGTTTGGTCCTGGCAGTATCACTATGCCTAATGGAGATACGAACCCCGATTTCGTGGATGGCATCGCCTGTGGGACGCCAGCCTCTGTGCCATCGTACATGATCACGGCGCTAATGCATAGACCAGATATGCTTGATGGTCTGTCGCGTCGCGATTGGCCGACAGATTGGTATGATAAACCAGATGAGCTAGAGAAATTCCAGTCTATCATGGTTCTTGTCGCCGATCGCAAGGCGTGTGAAGAAGGATGGGTCTTGTTCTTGGCTCCGAACCATAGGGGGGAAATACTTCCCTTCAGAGTCCGCGACAGGGCAGCTTGGGTGTACCAACAGATTATTGACTTCATGGAGGGCGTGCACTTGGCGGAGAATACTGTGGACCCCGATCAGGATATGGAATTTTATATGCGTGAAAACCCCGATGGCTGGGCTCCTGATAGTGTTCTCTGAATATATGTTCCCTTGCTAGTAGAATTACGATGATATATCTGTAAAAAAATGGTTTCACTTGTTGAGATCTACAGTGTAGAGCAGATCATGAAAAGCACAATAGATAGCTATGAAGCTAAAGAAGAGAGTTGATTGTAAAGATTATACAAAGATGGAGAAAGCAAGTAAGACTGTAAAGCCTTCTGATGACATTCTATAAGGATCGCATCCATGGTTTCTATTGGATAGTGCTAGCTGAAAGGGAGCCATTTTCGGCGTCGTTTTGGTCGCCAGTGGAAACGAGGGGAAAAGCCGTCTAAGTCGAGCGTCAACATCAGGACCGGATGATGACTAACATTGCTGGGCGGGTGCATAATAGTGGTGTTATAGGGCAGTGGGCGGTCAAGGGCCGGCTGGACGTCCAAAGTTACGGGTGGAAAGGCAGCCGTTTCTGGCCTCAAAAGCGGTCATTTTCGGCGTCAATCCCACAGGTCCTCATATTCTAGTTGTAAACGCAGATCCGGTGAATATATTAGGCTGCTTGTTGACATTCCAGCAAGTGCCATTTGAACATATAAATAGCCATATTCCTTAACTTTTCCTCCAAGGTTGATCCACTGCGGTCCACACTTGAGGTTTTTCTCTCCCGCTTCTTCTCTTTCTCTTCTACCTCAAATCTACCCCAATTAATCTCATCATGCCTTCCCGACAAGAAGTCTCCTACTTTGGAGCTGGTCCAGCTCCCCTCCCTACTCCAGTTGTCGAGGCCGGCGCAAAGGCATTCGTCAACTTCAACGACGCCGGACTCGGACTCGGCGAGATCTCGCACCGCTCGCCCACCGCCAACAAGATCCTCAACGATGCCAAAGCCAACCTTTCCGCTCTCCTCGATATCCCTGATAACTATGAGATCCTGTTTATGCAAGCCGGAGGCAGTGGCGAGTTCAGCGCTGTCGTGCAGAACCTGGTCCCCGTCTGGATTGAGCGCCGCCGCCGCAGAGCCGAGGCCGACGTGAAGAAGGCACAGCCCGGCGCGGAACAGGCGGAGGTCGACGAATTGGTCTTCCAGAGACTTCAGAAGGAGGTCGATGAGGAGCTGAAGCTGGATTACCTCGTGACTGGATCTTGGTCGCTCAAGGCTTCCCAGGAAGCGAGCAGACTGATCGGCTCGAAATACGTGAATGTTGCTCTTGATTCTCGCAAGACCAACGATGGGAAGTTTGGAAAAATCCCCGCTGAGGATTCCTGGTCCTTGACTCCTACCAAGAAGGAGGGTGGCAAGGGCTCTGCATTTGTCTACTTCTGTGACAATGAGACCGTCGATGGTGTCGAGTTCCCGCAGTTCCCCAAGTCATTGGAGGCTCAGGGTCAGGATGCCGAAGATGAGCGTCTCGTTGTCGCTGATATGAGCTCCAACTTCATCAGCCGAAAGGTTGATGTCAGCAAATACGCTGTCATCTTCGTACGTTGGCTCCAATCTCTCCGCGTTATGGGAATGGTACACTAACTATATATACAGGGCGGCGCACAGAAGAACATCGGTGTCACCGGTATCACCATTGCCATCGTTCGCAAGGATCTCCTCCCTCCCCAGACCGCGACTCCTTCCCCTGCTCTCCTCCACCGCTTGAACATTGGCGGTCTCCCCGGCCCAATCGTTCTCGACTACGCAACCATCGCAAAGAACAACTCCCTCTACAACACCCTCCCCATCTTCAATCTCTGGATTGCCGGCCAGGTCATGGCCGACCTGATGACCGAGTTCAGCACTCAAAAGGTCAGCGGCCAAGAGGAAGTCGCCAGCCAGAAGGCGCAGCTTATCTACGGTGCTTTGGACAAGTTCCCCCAATTGTACCAGGTTGTTCCTGACGCCAGCGTCCGCAGCCGCATGAACATCTGCTTCCGCGTCGGCGGCGGCGATGATGCAAAGGAGAAGGAGTTCATCGCTGGCGCTGAGAAGCGTCTCCTCCAGGGCCTCAAAGGCCATCGCAGTGTAGGCGGTATGCGCGCCAGCAACTACAATGCCGTTCCATTGGAGAACGTGCAGAAGCTAGTGAAGTACCTCGAGGACTTTGCTACAGCACAGTAGATTGTGTTTGAAGATAATATCAGTGTTTGAGCGAATTCAACCTGGGGCTTTCGGCCAGGAATGTGTGATGGGTAACGAAATAGGACGCTATAATGTGTCCAGGACAGTTGCGACTGTTTATTCAACATAACTCCCAGTATATCCATGCTATATATGCTTTAATGACAAAAAGGTTCCGATGTTTATACAAAAGTGGCCCAAAAGACTAAGAGAAAGCAGTCAGAGCTTCCACACACCCCAATCTTTGAGATCAAGTTCCTTGATGACTCCTTTTAGGGGGCCCTGGAGCTCCTGACCTTGCGCCCATAGCTTAGGCCCAGCCATGTAACTGATGAACCCTTCAGGACCGGAAACCAAAATCAACTTGCTCTTGCGAGAGTCACTTGTTGACGCTGGGGCAATAGCACCTCGGATAGCTTCCTTTCCAATGAACGTATTTTCCTCATCCAAATAGTAATCCACAGTGACCTGCCCGGGATACTGGGACTTGAGCGCCTCTAGCTCTCGCACAATAATAGAAGTATCCTCTTTTCGTACAACATCAACAGCATTTTCCGACAAAGTTTCCTGACTCTTCGACGAGCCAAACCACCCAGAGAACCAGCCCCGGCGTGGCTGCGGCTTCAGCGAGTCACTGTGACCACCAGCACAGTCATCCTTCAATCGATTCGCCCACAATATATGGATCTTCGGCCGTCGCTCAGTGTCCGTGCGATTCAAAAGAGAATATCCAGCTTGCAGAGCCGGCGCAATCCCCGTTCCACCAGCAATAAAGAGAATATCCTCCGTTTCCTTCGGGATGGCACACTCGATCTTGGGCCCACGCATCTCAACGTCAGCGCCTACATCGATGGTGTGCAGGTAGCGCGAGACCTCTCCAAAGGGATCTTTCCGAATAAAGAACCGCAGGCAGCCCTCATTCTCGTCGTCGACGCTTAGCGATGTCGCCGCCGTCGTCGGCAGCGGCGTGTAATCTCGTCCAATTTGTAATTGTGGTTGCTTGAACATCACACTCCAGACTCCTTTCTTCCATGCTTCCTCGTAGACATCGTAGTTGCTGTCGCTGGGTTTGCGTGGTCGCAGTGTGAAGAGGCTGCTGGTTGCGGACACGGGCTCGCGTGACACAAGGCTGTATTTTGTAAATGTCTCTGGGTTCAAGGTCGCGGATGATGTGTTTTGAGATTGGATATAGGCGCCCGCACCTGCTGCTGCTGCGCCCACGAAGACGATGCTTAGCCAGCGGCGCGAGTTGGAACGGGAAGGCTTTGGTGACGTCGAGGCTGAGGTTGAAGCATAGCGCACAGGCCGAGCTACAGCTCTGGAACCTTGGCTGCTTCTACAGCATAAAGAGGGTAAGTTGTTCATGTGGAAGTGCAATTGGAGAGAAAAAGAAATCGCGGGCGGAGATTCGAAGGTCGAGGCCAAGAGAGAGCCGATTGGGCGATCGACAAGAAAATACAAGAAAATACACCCCCTTGGCGGTTCTTCGTCTTCACTACAACTCACTTTGGGGATTTGTCCTCTCTACAGAATTGACATTTACGACATTCTCGACATTCTCTTCGGGCAATGGAGACTCCCCTTGGCCACTCCTGACGACATACCTTTCCGCCATCCTCTCTCTCCTTAACTTATACCACACGCTGGACACAAACAGACTATGTCGAATACATACCAAGGCAACAGGAATGGCAGCCTTGCCGCCCGTCGAGATTCACTAGAACTTGCCTCTCTCGCATCCTCATCCCCCGGCTCCGTAGGCGGGTCCTCACGCTCCTCCTCCCCCGACGGCATCTCCTCATCCCGCAAGCTCTCCCTCGCGGACGAAGACCCTCTCGCAGAATCGCATGATGCCGAGCTAGGAACAGGCCGCCATAGAGCTCAGAGCTCATATTCCATATCCTCAGCTTTCGATTTCGGGGGCACTCTATTCCCACTGTCGCAAACACAGGGTGGCTACGCGCCCCTCGGTACCCCGTCCGCGGACAGACCAGGATTCACAGATGGATCGCTGGAGCGGAATAAGACATTGACATACCTGAATGGGCTATCGCTTATCGTTGGGCTGATTATTGGATCGGGTATCTTCTCATCGCCGAGTCAGGTCAACGCGAACGCGGGGTCGCCGGGGGCATCGCTCATCGTTTGGGCCGTGGCTGGTCTATTGGCCTGGACGGGGGCTGCTAGCTATGCAGAGCTGGGAGGAGCCATTCCGCTGAACGGAGGCTCGCAGGTCTATCTTTCCAAGATCTTTGGAGAGCTGACGGGCTTCTTGTTCGCATGGTGCGCCGTGTTAGTACTCAAGCCTGGGTCTGCGGCGATTATCTCTCTCATATTTGGCGAATATGTCGTTCGCGCATTTGTGGGCGCTGATGTGGGTGATCTCAATCCTTGGATCAACAAGGGAGTTGCATTTGGAGGACTTTTGGTAGTGACCCTGCTCAATTGCATTTCCACCAAGTTTGCTACCCGCATTGGTGACTTTTTTATGTTCTTCAAGTTCATTGCTCTGCTGGGAGTCACCGTCATCGGCATTATAGTCGCTGTGACTGGCTTCTCAGCTGGTGGACATGCAGATGAAGAATGGAAGACGACAGGATGGTTCGAGGGAACCAACACCGAGATCTCTGATTTCGCAGTGGCTCTATATGCAGGTCTATGGGCATTTGACGGCTGGGACAATGTAAGTTGAGACTCATAGATCTCTGAAATGCTTCTACTCACACATTGCAGACCAACTACGTGACGGGCGAGTTCAAGAACCCAAACCGCGATCTGCCACGAGTCATCCACACAGCGATGCCACTGGTTATCATGTCGTATCTGCTCGCCAATGTCGCATATTTCCTAGTTCTGCCCCACTCCACCATTGAGGCAAGCAACACCGTCGCCGTACAATTCGGCGCAAAAGTATTCGGCCCCATCGGAGCCCTAGTTCTAGCTCTCGTCGTCTCGGCCAGCTGCTTCGGAGCGCTCAACGCAACCACCTTCACAAGCGGCCGACTAGTCTACGCAGCCGGCAAGGAAGGGTATCTTCCCTCGATATTCGGCCGCATCGGTCTTCACGCTACTCCCTCGCCAGGCCCTCCAGCAACCAGCCGACTACGCCGCCGCTCCTGGGCCCGCAAGTCCCTTTCCCGTCTCTTCGGTGATGAATCCAGCCTCGGCTTCACGCCAATCTATGCTATGGCATTTAACGGCGCCCTTACAGCCATCTACATCATCGTCGGAGAGTTCGGCACCCTCGTCACTTTCTACGGTGTAGCCGGATACACCTTCTACTTCCTCACCGTCCTCGGACTGATCGTCCTCCGTATCCGTGAACCCCAGCTGGAACGTCCTTACCGCACCTGGATCACCACACCCATCATCTTCTGCTGCGTGAGCCTATTCCTCCTCAGCCGTGCTGTCATCTCCGAGCCCCTGCAGACACTCATCGTCGTCGCGTTCATCATCACCGGCGTACCCGTCTACTACTGGCGTATCTACCAGCGAGATGGTCGGATTGACCTTCCCAGCTGGAAATTCTGGAAGCGCGGTTAAGTTCGAGAGAACTCTCCGCCCGCTCCGTTCTTGTTTGCTCTTATGATTGTGATACCCATGCATATATAGCTGGGATGTACGGTACAAAGTGAAAGATGTCTTTGGTTTTTGTGTGCGTATTTGCGCTTCCAGTGGAAGCCTTTTTGGCGACGATGTGACGACCATGGCTCTAGGCGGGTGCATTTTGATTGCTTCATCTTGCTGGTTTCATTATGCACGCCGTGTCTGCTTCTACCCTGTTTTATTACTGAGATCTAGTGCCCTGCATACTGCATGCAGTGTATATTATACATAATGTTCATAATATTTGCATATTGCAATTTCCAACCCCATTTATATACATACAAAGTGACAGGGTGTGTCTACAACCTCGGGGGTGGGTTCACTGACCCTCGTACACCAAGACCATCCCAAATAGATCCTCGCACGAGGACGGCAGTTGCCTGCCCATCATCCACCCTAGCATCAGACTCTGCGAAGAACAGTGGTCCGAAGCAATGATCTGCTGGGTGGTAGATTCGGGTAGAGATGACCGTTCTGTCATTTACAAACACTTCTAAAACACTCGAGTCAAAGAAGGCGTGTACTCGAAGCCTCTCTTCAATCTCCTCGCCACGCTCATTCAGGAAAGTGAACAGCGTGTGCGGAGCAGTTTCATAGCCGTGATTTACTTCGGCGTTGTCGATCAGAGGCCGATGGATTTCGAAGGTCTCACTTCGTGGATCCCAGGAAAGGGTCGTACAGTTTTGACCATCTAGAAGAACGAGTATCAGCATGTGTACCATAGACCCGGAGAATTAGAGCCAATGTCTTACCAGAGGTGTGTAGGATTTCGATACCCACACGTGCACAAGATTTACTGACGGAAAATTCGGCATCGATTTCCCATTTAGATGTCCCTAACAGCATTGCACCTTGTGATGGTGAAGTAGACAGGGGAATTCCAGCGAGGTGGCTCTCCCGGGCACTTTGTCTCAGTCGCGTAAGTCGGCTATCTGGACTAATCTTCATGGTATGGATCGTGAAGGTACCAGTACCAGGTGCATCGGGCACTGCGTTGATTGAAGTAATTGAACTCAATTCCGAGCTCCGTGCCTTTTTGACATTTTTCAATGTCATCAGTCCCACCACACGAGGAAGTGAAATTAAGCCGCTGAATCCTTGGCGATGACGCAGAGAATCAGACAGGTCCTCTTCTGTGATCCAGCCACAGACGATATGTTGCGAGGTTTGAGGGTCGTAGAATGAGTTGGCCGCATAGTAGCAGCCATGATCGAAGATACCAGAGAATGCATATGAGGCCAGAGAAATGTCTGTGGAAGGAGATTTTTTTCTCCATTGGACGTGATAGACATCCAGAGTTGGGCTCGGGCTTCTCGTTTTCGGCGTGCTTCTTGGGCCCCGTTTTGGTTCGAACTATCCAACGGCACACAGCCTTCAGCTCCCATGATGATAAAGTCCCGAGACGTGCCGGTGTCATCGGTCAGGGTCATTAGATTGGCGACTTCCCAGTTCACGCCGTAGTCGCCAGACCAGCGAGATGGTCGTAGGTTGAGGCCAACATCTACCAATGGGCCAATAAAATCCCACTTGCCGAGGGCTGTTGCTTGGACAGTATAGACAAAAACTGTTGGGGTTTTCTTGGCGATTCCTCCTGATATAAAACCATATAGTGCTGATTGTGTGTGTTTGGAAAGAGGTCCCCCGGCCCAAGTTGTGATGAAAGGATCTCTCCAGGCCGTCACATTGAGATGTGAAGGCGGGCCATTGAGAACCGGGTTGCAGTCCTGGCGTTGCCAGGTCTTGCCTCCATCTTGTGAGACAGCTAAACTCAGAGATTCACTTCCGAGTGTATATGGTAGGGTGTGGTGGAGCGGGAGATGGCTCACTGAGGTGTATAGGATTGTGAGAGCTCCCGGGTGTCCGGAGGCATCGGTTGCCTGTAGACATCCTGTAAATACGCCCCGGCAGTCGTATTCAGCGGAGGGCGTCAAAATGGGAGCGGTGGATGTCGTCCATGACACTAGATCTGGGGATGTAGCATGGCCCCAGGAGATATTGCCCCAATCATTCCCGTGCGGGTTCCATTGGAAACACAAATGATATAACCCTGTAGTTGGATCGTATCCTAATCCACATGGGTCATTCAACCATCCTGTAGGTGCTGTGACATGAAACGATGGCCTCCATTGCGAAGGATCTCGAGGTAATCTCTTCTCTTCGTGCGTTTCCCAAAGAGACTGTTCTGATTTTTGCCGAGGCTCGTGATCAAGCATGTCCAATTCTCTTGTGCTGACGGGATCAGACATGTTTAACATTGGATTTAATGCAAAAGAAGGAAGTAGACGATTCGATTCGTCGGCGGATGACCACGTAGAGATATACTCTATCGCAGTTCAAACTTTCAAACTTGGCCACGTCGCCCAACAAATACATGTGGTGTTGGGATCCACTGAGGACTTAAAATTATGTATGGCCTGAGGATGCCATTCATAGAAAATAACGAGATATTGAAGCCCGAATCCCCGATTCCCCGATTCGGGGGTCAATCGGGAATAAGTTCGGTATATACAGGAGGATTGTCGGCGAAATTAAAATAGGCTCCGTAGTGGATAGGAGAGTATATAGGTAGACGGACAGATGAGTAGACGTAGTAGAGTGTATGCAATGAGGTATATCACCACATCCCTGTAGGGTTGACTGAAATGGGAAATCTCGGAGAAACTCGTCAAAAATAAATCCGGGGGGTGAGAGAGTTTGGGGGAAAATCTGGGGGATCTGGGGAACTTCACTTCCAATTGTTTATTCAATATGAATTGATATAGAGCATATAGAGCATCCTCATGGGAGTGTGTCTTCGAGGGTGTACGCTCACATTCCATCGGATTCGGACAATCTGCAACATGCCTTTCAAGTGTGCTTCGGCTGAAATCCAACATGTCGACTACTCAGATTCGCCTCGAAAGTCACAAGCGATCAATGTCCAGTTAATATTCGCCTGTACAGTATTTTCCGCCGCCTCATTCTTGTTCGGATTCGACGACAAGATCATTTCCCCGGTTGCTGCATTGCCAGATTTTGTTAGTGCTGGTGCAATCATAGCAAAAGATGATCCTAGCTGATTCGAATATAGGTTGATAAATTCCAAGGACCTAACCCAGCCACTGGGAAGTATATCCTCACGGCTCGCAATCAAAATCTGGTCTTCTCCCTTCCATTGGCGGCCTCCGTGATCGGGGGCCTGCTTGGCTCGCCATTGAATTTCCACCTTGGTCGCAAATGGCCTTTGATTATTGCGTATATCGTATCTGTGGGTGGTGGATTACTACAGGTCTTTGCACCGAATTTGGGGGCCTTTGTGGGAGGTCGTTCTATCAATGCAGTTGCTTTGGGCATCGTGGGTGTGACTGCCCCTTTGTATGTCTCTGAGGTATTGATCCTTTGCTGCTTGTTCCATTTTCAATGACGCTAATTCTTGCATTTAGGTTGTTCCCGCCTCTATACGTGGCAGATGTGTTAGTTCAATGAACATCTTGAATCTAACAGCTGGCGTGGTAGGCACCGTGGTTGTCTTCAGAACAGAAAAGATCGATGGAAGCCTGTCATACCAGATCCCCATAGCTGTGCAGTGTGCTCTGCCTGTCATTCTTCTTATCATGACAGTGCCCCTTCCAGAAAGCCCACAATGGCTGGCCGGGAAGGGAAATATAGAAGACGCTCGGCACAGCCTGCGGAAATTGCGTGGGTTCAGCGACGCCGAGGTTGAAGATGAACTCCGCCTCATGAAGCTATCTGAAGAAAATGAGCGCGAGCTCCACCAGATCAAGTTCTGGCACATCTTCCAGCGACAGCACCTCAAACGCACCCTGACGGCGGGTTCATTCTTCTCTCTTAACCAAATATCAGGCATCATTCTTTCAACAACATATACAACCGTCTTCCTCACAGAGCTGGATATTGCAGACCCCTTCTCCCTAACAATCATCGCATCCTGCTGCACATTAGCCGGCACCATTGCCGCACCCTTCGTCATCGACCGTGCCGGTCGACGTCCCACAGCATTTATCGGGATGGGAATTATGTTCATAATCGACGCGGTGGCCGGTGGGTTAGCCTTCGACAGAGGCAACAAAAAGGCTACCATGGCCATCGCTGGTTTGTCCTTTGTATTCAACTTCTTTTGGGCATCTTCTTTCTGCTCGCTGGCGAACCTCATGCCCTCCGAGATGGCAACTCCCAAACTCCGCCATCATACCATGTCCTACACAGTTGCCTGTGCGCAAACAACCGCTGTTATCACCACTCTCGTCGTTCCACGGCTGACTTCGGCGGATGCGGCTAACCTTGGCGCGAAGACTTATCTCATCTTCGCTGGCTGTATGGCTGCCATCATTGTTTTTTTCTACTTTTTCATGCCGGAGACGCGTGGCCGAACTTTTGCTGAGATCGATGAGATGTATGCGGCTAAGATCCCTATGTGGAAGTGGAGGTCGTATGAGACTTCATTTGGGGTGAGGTCTCATGCATCAAAGGGTTTGTGACATTGTCCTGCAGTTCATCTTTCCAATTGGAGTCTTTCGCCCTTATCGCCTTCTATATTCCATAGAATTATGTCGTTAGTCTATAAGATTCCTGTACCCATGAACTCCGTCTATGCCTTGTTGAATCCAATTGTTGAAACAATGATTACCATTCCACTACGATGTCTTTTTAATATCCTATGAGATGTCATTTGAAATGTTATTTGAAGTATTTAAGATGTAGATATCTCAATGGCTTTTAACTATAATGTGGTTATGTAGTGGCCTGAAATCTTAGGGTCGCTTCGAGTGTGGAAGGAGCACCTTCTACAGCAACTCCAGTCCTCCACACTTTCACACTTTCACAACTCCTCCGGCACAATCCACAATGGTTTAACGCGATCCCAACAACGTGCATAGCGAGCAAGTTGAGTGGTTTAATCGAACGAAAGAACTGGGGTGACACACCTTCACATGAGCGACGCTTCGATCATCCATGCATCGAAGATCACAGAGAAACAGTTCTTGTCCTTGAGGGCAATTTGGCCAGCGCGGCTTCCCATTGAAAGCTTCGCCTCTCCTGACAAAAACAGTGAACTGAGAGAGAAAGTTAAAAGAGTGCGTGCGAAGTGTGATATACAAGGACTAGTCCCACAGCAATACGGTCACCCTGGAATTCCCATAGAAATATGAAACCGCTTAGGGACCTCAGTTGAGCACATGGCGCTTATCTTGGGATTCGGCATCCATGATAGGGATCAAATAGAAACAAACAAATAGACGAAGTGATGAGAGGTGGAAATTGAAAAGTTGGGGACGGTGACATGCTCATTCAAACGTCATTTAACCAGAGTAGGACCGGTTGTAAAGAGCCTTTGGGAAAGGCTTCTTTGAAAGCTTCTGTTGAAGTATATTTATAAACACGTCCTTTCATTAGCGGCGGATACTAGGACCAGTTCGAATTAAATGCAAGCGAGGACACGTCCACACGCATATATGCTATCTCGAACATTCTCTCATGATTTGTACGTACAAAAGAAATAGTTTTAGCCCCCTTTATGAGTCATGGTGGTTGAAAACTCCCAAATGTTGAATGAATCCCCCCTGTAGATGCAGATGCCAACCCATAACCCCGTCTATGCCTTGCGGTTGAACCCAATCGTTGTTGAATGGCACGTTAAATGACTCCTGACATCAGTGTTCGCATGCAAAATAGAAAAACAGAAAAACAAAAACTCTCAATCTCTTTCCAGATTATTTTCTTATTCGTGTTTTTCCAGTCCGTAACCTCCAAGGCCTTCAAGGGACTGGTAGGTCTTGCCCTGATTACCACGGTTATCCCGAGGACCTCTGAGCTTCATATCCTCCTTGAGCCACTTAAGAACCAGCTCTCCAAGACGACTATTCTCCGAAGTCCACTCGGGGACTTGTTCATGGAATGACTCAACACTACCCAGTGCCTTGACCTTGCCCAAGTGCATGTGGACCAGATGGGTAGGCCACTGGGCGAGGTTGTCCAAGATATGGGTAGCGTAAACAATAGTGCAAGCGCGGGTCTCAGTCTCCCGCTTTAGGAAAGCCAGGAAATTGCTCCTGGACAAAAGGTCCAAGTCGACAGTGATCTCGTCGAGCAGCAGAACCTGCCAGGGCCGCAGCAAGCCCATGGCCAGCTGCACACGGCGGCGTTCTCCGTCCGAGACGGCATGCATGCGCCAGCGTAGATCAACATCGAGGATGTCGATCAACTCGTCCCGGCGCTCTGGGTAGGCATTTCCGCCGACAGAGGCGAGCAGCGTCGGCACGTCGATGTCAGTGCGCACGATGCTGTTCAACACCCACTCGACTCCCAGGTAGGTCACGCCGTCTAGACTGTCTTTGAAGGGATCTTTGCCGCCAATGGCGATGGTGTCAGTGGGTGCAAGGCGCTTCCCTGCCAGGAGGCGGAGGAGGGTGGTCTTCCCCGCTCCATTTGCTGTTTGGGTTAGTCTTCGAGATCAATCTAAAATGGGAATGGGTTTGACTCACCGCCGATCAATAGAGTGCGGCTTCCAGCTGGTAGGCTCATTTTTATATTTTCCAAGCCATCAGAGCCATCTTGGAACTTGTATGAGAGGTTCTGTACCTCAATGGAGGGGAGAGTGGGATTGGTATCCGCCATGACGAATATGGGAGAAAAAGGAAAACACTGAGAGCACTGGGACTTCGGAATTAAAAGGAAGATCAGAATGAGTCAGGCAAAACTGTGACCTAGGTAATTCGAATTTATCTAGACTGATTTGATGTTAGCGCTCATGTAACATCGATGAGACGATTCCCCGGGCCCCGTACGCCATGGATGAGGTAACCCGCCTGATAAGGCAGATAACACCTTTTTTTCCCCTCGCTGCACTGAGCATCGCGGTATGATCTCGGCTCTCCGATCTATCTGGCACGGTCAAAGAATGATGAATCCTCTCATAGCCGTCGTCGGTGCCACGGGCACAGGCAAGTCAAAGGTATGACCCCAAGTACACCACACTTCCTCCGGACACAATGACTGATAGCTGTAGACAGCTTGCAGTGGACTTGGCCTCTCGATTCAACGGTGAAATCATCAATGGTGATGCCATGCAGATGTACCGCGGTCTGCCGATCATAACGAACCAGATCCCGACAGAAGAACGGAACGGCATCCCTCACCACCTCCTCAGTTGCATCGACCTAGACGCGGAAGCATGGCGCATCGGGCTGTTCAAGCGAGAAGCCCTGCGAGTTATTGAAGACATCCGCGCCCGTGGCAAGGTCCCTATTCTTGTTGGGGGCACCCACTATTACACCCAAGCAGTGCTGTTTAAAGAACAGCTCGTGGGCGAGGGAGTGGACGACGAAGGCGAGCGCGAACAGCTCACGGAGTTCAGCACAACCTCGAAGAAATGGCCGATTCTGGATTCATCACCTGAAGTTCTCCTGGAGAAGCTGCGCGAGGTGGATCCTGTCATGGCTGCGCGATGGCATCCGAAAGATGCGCGGAAAATCCGGCGGTCATTGGAAATCTATTTTCAGACAGGACGCCAAGCCTCGGAGATCTATAAAGAGCAGTTCTCTCAAAAAAGAAAGGCGATAGATCAGGAGCAGGGGTTACTAAGATTCGAGAATACGTTGGTGTTTTGGGTACATGCCGAGAAGGAGGTCCTCAACGCGCGCCTGGATGCACGCGTCGATGACATGGTCAAGCAGGGCTTGATGACCGAGGCGGAGAAGATGTCAGACTACTTGCAGGAAAAAGCCTCGCAGGGCATTGAAGTTGACCAAACACGGGGGGTCTGGGTGTCCATTGGATTCAAGGAATTGGCGCCATACTTCAAAGCTATCCGGGACGGGGAAGCAAGCGAGAAAGAAATCGAAGATCTCAAACGACACTCTCTTGAATTAATTCGCATCGCTACACGACAATACGGAACATCCCAGGTCAAATGGATCCGCAACAAACTCTGGCATGCACTCACCGAAGCCGGAGAGACACATCGTCTTTACCTCCTGGACAGTTCCAATGTCAACGACTGGAGCAAGTGCATCACTGAGCCATCCGAGCAGATTGTGCAACTAATGCAGCAAAGCAAACCGACTCCGGATCCCAAGTCCCTTTCTCAGTTGGCAACGACAGAGTTCGGCGCCAAGGAAGCGCAGGCCCAAAAGCGTGTACAGACTGACCCAATTGGGAAATGCTATACCTGTGATGTCTGCGAGAAGACTATGGCGTCTGAGGACCAGTGGCATATTCATCTCAAAAGTCATCGACATAAAAGTGGACTCAGGTCTGCGAGCAAGAGGGCACAGCGCGATGAATATTTCCGAAAGAAGGAATTGGAAGCGCAAGCGAGCCAGGCTCCTGAAACCGAACCTCAATCTTAAGTATATTGCACAGTCAATGATAGATGAATCATAGAAATACCCAATATTGTCCCTTAAACAGGGAGGATACATGTATTCCTCAGGCGTAGGTATCTATCCTACGGAATTTATCCTGATCAACTCCCACTGGCCTATTCCTATGTGTTCGATGAGGGTGGAATAAGAGGCCAAACATTGCAATGAAACATCCGATTCACCAGTAAGGGTACATTAGCCCTCCCTAGCATACATGAGACTTTCCAATCACGACGTTGCAGTCATGGTCGATCGCCAGGCCTTGAAAGCAGGCGAGAGAATATCGCCATGACCTTGCTCCTCAACCTGATAGACCTCAATGACCGGAGACTTCTCCTTCTTCCGAATTCTCCACGTCCCCTCCTTATTGATAGTCTGCTTAAGCCCTGGGAGGCGAGTCAGTATTTTTATAAACCCACCAGGAAGAACACTCACATTCCAAAAATGCACCTGTAAAATTGATGCAGACATTTCCATCCCAAGTACGCCGGCCGACACTCAACACTTTCCCAGGAATACTGGCTGTGTCCAGCTCCTCCAAGCTACGACAAATGCCATTTTCATCGCGGAATCCCACAATGATCTTAGGAACACCGAGCAGGAATGACTGTGCCCAAAACTTGAGCAACTTCCGCTCATACTTCATCATATCACGATCATTGCGGATTTGAGCTGATGTCTTCAGCTCAACCCAGTTAATGGGGTCTTCTTTTCGTGAGGGCTTGCTATCCCAGACTAGAACAAGTTAGCATTGGCTATAGCTACAAGGATTAGAGTAAACATACTGGCATCAACCTCTCCACCGAGAATCATACGCACGTTACCGATCCCAGTGCGGACAACGGAACAATACTGTGCCGCATTATTGACGACTTCGTTCTCGCGACCTTCAATCTCTTCGCGTGTTGATTCGTCCCACGTCTTCCGAAGTACAGCCAGATTTTCGAATTTGTAGCCTAGGATTGTTAGTTAGTCCGGGCATATATTGTCATGGCTTGTTTGACGCACCCCAGTACATCATGAGTTCCTGAGGTGCCATTCCAGGTGGTGATCCTCGCTTTCGTTGGATTTCCTTCTGTTGGTTCTTGTACTCATTGTTTTCTTCGATGAATCTAGAACAAGTCAGCACCTTATGCCATGATCTTGCTAACTTAATATACACACATGGTGCCCTATACTTGGTGTTAGATCATCGAAGCTAGATATTCCTGTTGAGATTGATATCATACCTGGAAGAAAGTTGCATTCATCTCGAAGCTAGAGATAGCCTTGCGTTAGAGAAACAGCACGCCATGTTGGTAATAGGTCAGAGCTACAAACCCATTCATATTATCAAAAGGAGCCGTTAGAATCTGCATATAAGGGTCAGAATTTGTTTCGAAATCAGATGATAGTCCACGCCAGACTTCAATTCAACACACCTTGGTCATCATTCCTCTCCATGTGATGATGTCTACATCACACTTCTTCTCTGTTTCTTTCTCATGGGCAACAAGGGTATCAAGTAAAGCATCTAAGTGCTCATCCGCGACATCATCGAGCTTCTGGAATGTTTCATAGCCCTTGTTCAGGTCTGCAGGAAGAGCCGGCGTGTAGTAGTAGGCCATGGACGAATCGCCTAGCGAAAAACGACGCTGGTCATCATACGAGAAGCAAGCAATTTCCTATCACCGAGTGAGCTATTTATTTTCATTTTATGAACATAAGACCAGGTCTTTGGCTTACCCTTGGTCTCCGGATAGAGGTATTTGCGCCGCCGAAGCGGTGCAGGGGCTGGATGTTGAAAGTAGACTGGTTCATAATGATTTGTCGCACTATTGAGTAATGGACATGATCAAACGAAGAATAGCGATTGTCCTTGATTTAGATTGTCGCGACCTAGTTAGGAAGCTCGTATAGTCGCTAGGGATACCCGTAATAGTGTTGTTATTATCGTATTATCGCCGGAAACGGGACCAATAGAATGAACAAATTTAAATCAACAGAAGCTGCAGATTTTGTGTGAAAACAGAGCTGGTAGTTCCAGCTATAAAGTCACAGGTATTTTGGAGGAGATGACGGAGATGCACATGTTCTCTGGGCGAATTGCCGCGTCCCCACCAAATCTCAACCTACTCCCCGCGAACGTTCTTGCACTGTTCACTCTGCTTGATAGCGTCCTCGATTCTACTTTTCTTTGATTTACATGATCAGCGCTTGCCTTTAATTGACAATGTCATCCCGGATTGATAAGGTCATCGCCCGCCAGCGAGAAAAGTGAGAATTCCACCTGGCCCGTAACCACCTTGGACCACCTTGGACACCTTGGACCTCAAAAGATCCCATTCTGACTGTCTGTTGCTGTCTATAGGATTGCTGATGGCGCATATTACGAGGCTCACCAGCAACTACGTGTTATTGCCGTCCGGTATATCAAGCAGTCCAACTACGATGCTGCGGCGGATATCCTGGCTGGTGGCGCGAAGGAGCTATTGAAAGCTGGTTCCCAGAAGGGTGCTTCAGCCAGTGGTGGCGACCTGGCCATCATGTTGGTTCTCGAGGTATACAACAAAGCCGAATGGGAGATTTCAGGCGGCAATGATGATGCGGAGGGTCGGGCTCGGAAGAGTGAGTCTATCAAATATCCTTTTACCACTGGGGATCCATTACTGCAGCATGCGGTAGTCGATCTTGGTGCTTCGGGTTGCCCCAGTAGCTATCACAGACCTAGCATTGCTAACTTATATTTTGTTCAGAGCGCCTAATCGAGCTACTACGCGAATTCCCATCCGAGGAACCTACACGAAAGAGATTCATCCAGGAAATGATTGGATGGAGTGCAAAGTTCGGACCACTAGAACGAGGAGATTCAGATTTACATCATGCTGTTGGTTCAGTATACGCCGAAGGTGAGTGATGTTGGAGCGCAATGTTTGATGCATTCTAACTTAGCGCCTTAGATAACGAGCCATACGATGCCGAGAAACATCTCATCCTAGGAACCTCCGAATCAGCCGAGACCCTTGCAAAGCTCGAGTATGAGTGGTACACCAGCGACGAACCGCACACCGCAGCGATCTATGTGTCACGCGCAGTCTTCCCATACCTCCTCACCGGAAATATCCGCAGCGCCAATAAAGCCCTGCTTATTTTCACTTCGCGGCTTTCAGCGGCCAATCCTCAGCTCGGTGTACAGGATGTCAGCAGTGCCAGCTCCGACGTTCGGGTGTTCCCCGCCCTTCCTTTGGTGAACTTCATCAGCATGTTGATGTTGGCCATCCAGCGCGGAGGTGCTGATCTCTTCCGACAGCTCACTGCGCACTATGCGGCACAAATTCGAGAAGTTGGTATCTGGGACGATGCTCTGGCTCAGATTGGCGAGCAGTACTTCGCTATCAAGATCCCGCGCCAAGGTAACCCTTTGATGGATATGATGAGTGGTATGTTGTTTGGAGGAGGTCAGAACAAAGCAGGTGGCAAAGCATCGCAATCCAGAGCTGCGAAGAAGGTTGAGGCACCGCCATCGAGCATGGAGCTCGATTAAGAAAGACTTGATGCGTGGGTCTTTTGAAGCAGGCCTTTGCAAGAAACGTATCCAACTGATAGTGTAATGAGATCAAGATGCATGCAGCAAGCGCAGCCCCGTCTAGTTAGAAATCGAGTCCTTCTCAGGCTCAAACATCCAATTATCGTCATCCAATGATGCTACCTTTTTGCGTAGGCTTTCGTGCACTATATTGAGAATCTCTGTTTCCGATCAGTATATGACCATAGAAACAACCGCGACTCTAGCCAGACTTTAACTTACCATCAGGTTCACCGTTCGATTGTCTGGTCCGGTGCCGAACCATCATATCCACAAGAGCTGCCTCGAACTCTGTATTAAGTGTTAATAGACTATACTTCATAGAGGAAAACAGCACCGAGTCAAGAACATACTCTCTTTGTCACGTCCAATGAGCTCCGAAGAATCAAATCCTCCATCCTCCGGCGCAAGTTCAGCCAGCTCCTCTCCATCCTCTCCAACCAGAGCCTGCGGCAATGTCGGAATCTCAAGCTTGTAGCTACCATTCTTGTCCCGAACCACAATATCTTTATTCTCCGCTGTCTTAAATGGTCGAGTATGTGGTCCCGAGTCCGAGGATGTAGTCTTCAGCCGGTGCGAGGGGCGATTGGAAAGGCCGTTGTGGTTCTGAGGAACTGTGCCATTGGGTGGTCCTGCGGAGGCAGGTCGGCGGCTGAGGTTCCCGTGAAATAGGTTGCGGCGGACAGAGCTCTGGTTCATGATTCCAGATGGTTGCATGACTGCATACACCACGGTTTGTGTTTTGTCTGTTGTGTTTGGCCGGATGTTCTGAGTATGCGGGGAGCCGTGCGCGTCGCAGAGGAAGCGCGGGTGTTTCGAGGAGAGAGAGGGTTGGTTCCAGCTGTGCGTGTCAGGGTGTGAAAAATGGAGGGAATATTGTCATTTCGCAATGTCTAGGTATTAAGAATAATTGTTGTTGGGGTGAAAGGAGGAAGAATGGCACGGAATGAAGTAGATGAGGAAAAAAACGACAACACCAGCATTGAACTAAACTATGTGTGCAATAGTCAGCATATTAGGATCAATTGTCTACTTAGGAGCCCATAGATATTATATAGAGTAAATTAATTGAAATCCACAGCTTCAATGCCTCAAATGTCACACATCCATCTGAAGTGCACAGGCCAGCTGATAAGCTGTTATCGCGTTCCCACGCGTGCTTCTTTCGCGTCTTCCCTTCACTGCAGTTCTTCACTTTGGAACCACCAAATCGCTCACAATGGTTCAAGCTGAATCTTCCTCTGCTTCTCGTAATGGTGCGAAGGCAAATACTGCCGGTGCCCCTATGGACTATGAGCTCCCCTGGTAGGTGGAATCTCCTTTGGAATATTATACAGAGCTAACCTTTGGCTTGTCAATAGGGTCGAGAAATATCGCCCAACCTTTCTCGATGATATTGTCGGCAACACTGAAACAGTGGAACGGTTAAAGATCATTGCCAAAGATGGTAATATGCCACACGTTATCATCTCTGGCATGCCGGGTATTGGAAAGACCACTTCAGTACTATGTCTGGCACGGCAAATGCTGGGTGATGCATACAAGGAGGCAGTTCTGGAGCTGAATGCTAGTGATGAGAGAGGTTAGTACTTGCATTATTTCTTTTGATGTTTGGGCGGTCGATACTGATGCTGTGGTCTAGGTATCGATGTGGTCCGGAATCGAATCAAAGGTTTTGCCCAAAAGAAGGTTACATTGCCCCAAGGGCGCCATAAACTAGTCATCCTCGATGAAGCCGATAGGTTTGTTCTCGTCGGAGTTTCATTTTGGTCATTGGACTCACATCTCCCCGCAGCATGACCGCCGGTGCCCAACAAGCCCTGCGACGTACTATGGAAATCTACTCCTCCACCACACGATTTGCCTTTGCCTGTAACCAGTCGAACAAGATCATTGAACCCATTCAATCCCGTTGCGCCATTCTCCGTTATGCCCGGTTGACGGATGCTCAGGTTGTGAAACGGTTGATGCAGATTTGCGAGGCGGAGAAGGTCCAGCACTCCGAGGATGGCATTGCTGCACTTGTTTTCAGTGCCGAGGGTGACATGCGTCAGGCTATCAACAACCTGCAGAGTACTTGGTCCGGCTTCGGTTTCGTCAGCGGAGACAATGTTTTCCGAGTAGTCGACAGCCCGCACCCGGTCAAAGTCCAGGCCATGATCAAGGCTTGCTGGGAAGGCAAGGTGGATGTGGCATTGGAGGGATTGAATGAGCTATGGTATGTTGTAAATGTGTTTCATTCGAAGTACTGGAGGTTTCTAACCATTCAAAATCTACAGGACCCTGGGATACTCTTCTCACGATATCATCAGTACCATGTTCCGAGTCACCAAGACCATCCCCACATTGTCCGAACATTCCAAGTTGGAGTTCATTCGGGAGATTGGATTCACACATATGCGTATTCTAGATGGTGTGCAGTCACTGCTTCAACTGAGCGGCTGTGTGGCGAAGCTTTGCAAGATCAACATGAAACCCGATCTGTTCGAGCCCCCCAAGGCTTGAGACTCAAGAGTGCTTGTCTTGTTGCATATTCCCACGGCGTTTTTCATTTAAGTGACTCTGGAGGCAGATATCCCATCAAGCTGCATAATGAGTTACGTCTACCATATTTATCCCAAAAATCAGTTCAATCAACGGCGATACACGTCTTTCAGTGTGCGAGTTGACCCAAGTCCATATTCTGCTTAAACGTCCTAGATAGCTGAATCGGATTTGTCGACATGACTTTTCCAGAGCTTCTCAATAACTGTAGCAGCCCCCAGTACCTTCTCTTCCTGGAGTTTCTTCCCAATGATCTGCAGATTCACCGGATATCCATCCGCCTGCTTCGCATCGAAAATATTCCAATTCCACTCATCCGGACCGTTTCTTGGAACATAAGGCTCCGACGGCAACACATCCACCTCGGCTCTCACTCTGTCCACCGGGAACGTCAAAGCCGGATAGTCCAGCAAATTCCAAATCTTGGTATAGCCAACCCAACGAAGTTTCCGGTGGGGCACAGTGGTATGCGGCAAAGTAGGACTCAACAGAATATCGACAGGCTGACCCGACGGAGACCGCACCGCATTCCATTTATCCAGATACTTCTTCTGTACCGCAGTCTTGCGCTTGTTCAACTGCCAATACTCATAAACCGAGATAGCCTTGCCGCGGTTAAGCAGCGTTTCAACGTGTGGAATAAACGGCTCGCCGGCAGCGGCTACATCCCGACGAATATCCTCACACCCGTCGACTGTGTAGAAAAGGTCCATAATCTCAATGCATCCCTCATGGTCAGATGTATCCCAGACCACAACCTCGTGGCCATATGATTTAAGCACTTCCGAGAGTTCTAGCAGAGCACGCGCAATAGGGGGTGGACCTTTACCACGCCGTCATCCAGGATCAAGCCGATGACCATAGGTCGGTCTTGGAGCTCTTGGAATGCAGTGTCGTTCCAGGGAAGAGGAACACATCGTGGATCAACATCCCAGGGCTGGCTGTTCGCTATCAGACGGCTCACATAGCAGATCGACCGGAGATCTCGGGCCATCGGGCCGATAGAAGATGGGACATGTTCTTGGCCTTCGGTGGATACGGGTACACCCTGATAGGGGATCCGAGCGCTCTGTTTTTGGAGATTATAAGCACATACCTCAAGAGAAATAAAATTGTTTGTTCATAGCGGTTGTACTTACGCTTGGTTTGAAGCCATACAAGCCCACTGTAGCCTGTGGGATTCTTACACTTCCGCCGATATCAGTTCCGAATCCGAATAGTGATCCATGCAATGTCAACAAAGCGCCTTCGCCGCCAGTTGAACCACCGGGAGAAAAAATTGGATTGCGAGGATTAGTCGTGAGTCCCCAAAGGGGATTCTCGGTTTCCGCCCACTGGAGAAATCAAGTCAATCTCCGAATCAGATAATGTCAGTGATATTCTCGAACGAACCATGATACTTTGTGGAATGTTTGTTTTCGCGATGACAACAGCGCCCATCTTCTTTAAGATCTCCACGAGCACCGCATCTTCTTGGGCCGGGGCGAAAGACCTACCCACATATCCCAGGGTCGTGTCGACGCCTTTGACGTTAAATTGGTCTTTCAGCGTGATCGGAATTCCATGTAGGGGACCTTTAAGATTTCCAGTTTCTGTGAAGTCGGCGTCTAGCTGCTTTGCCTGTTTCAGGGCATCTTCGAAAAGAACCTCGGTCAAACTATTTGTCTATCCATGCCAGATTCTATCAGTGAGCTGGCCGGGGACGAAAACTGGAACGAAGATGCGAGGCACATACTAATTGATGCGCGACCACAGCCCTACCGAAGATATCAGTATATGGTCCGTTCCAACCCTCGATAAAAGACATACCGTTGGATATATGCCTTGACCACCTGCTCTGCTCGAAACTCCCCTTTCTCCAGGCATTTCAACAGGGCGCCGACATTGTCAATATCTGTGATCTTTTGATACAACGGATCTTCTAGCCGAGTACGCTCCTCGGCATTCTGTACTTGGGGTAGACGTTGAGTTACGTCGACTAAGTACGGTGCGATGAGTTGGTCCCTAATGTTCCGTTTCTGGGAGACAATCTCCTCCCAAGTCTGTGAACTACCCATTTTTTTGCTATGAATTGTCGTATGGTATAAGCCGTGGAGGTCAAGACTAGCTTTATATAGTCCTCGGACAACAGTCCGGGCCCTCTTATCAAGTGGGGACGTGGCACATTCCTGCCAAATACCATATTTAGAGTCATTTTTCCTCTTTATCTAACCGAAATTTATACCGTTTCCCTTCAATAGTCATTTCAATAACATTTTGAGTGTGAAAATATTTGAAAGAGAAAGATGAGACAGAGAGAGCAGGTGAGAGCGGGGGGCGAATTGCCTATGTGGGTCAAACCTTCTTCGACCTCATGGATTTTATGTCCGACAAACTCTCTGATAGAGCTATAGCTCTACAGCTTTTGCATCATGGCGATGGAATCCAGATTGACCGGCTCTGCAAGCGCCATTCGCTCACATAAAGCCGCTATTGCCAAACGAGCATGCGACCAATGCAAGTTTCGGAAAATCAAGGTGAGACATCCCCCTTTTATGTATCCAAAATGAATGTACTGACTTGGCGATAGTGTAGCTTGTCACAGCCTTGCAAGGCTTGTCAGTCTATGGGCTTTGAGTGTACATTCCTTCAGCCACAGAAGAAGCGCGGACCAACCGGGCAGTGAGTAATCGCCCGTGACTGTGAATAGTATCACACTGACTGGGATGAAGTCGCGTGTCGCAAATCAGACAGCAACAAACTGTCATAACGCCCCAAGAGGAATCTAAGAATGCCTTCCAGTTCCAAACTCCGACCTCATCCGTGGAGTCTGGTCAAGGTTCTGTACCCGGAGCACCTTGGACACCCACTCCGGGTCCAGCACCCCTAGAGGGGGCCGGAGGACTGGCGCCTCCAGGTATACCCCCTCCAATGGCAGCTTGGGGTGAGGAAACCGCATCTATAGGTTCTCACAATAGCGGCGTGAGCTGGAACGACCGAAATGACGTCGAATATTGGCTTCCAGATAATCTGGATTCTCAAATCCCTGTCTTCGAATTCCCAGGAAGTAATGTCTATCTGAAGCCGTCTCTCCCGTCTATCATTCAACCAGTCCCCGATCCTGGGGCCATGGGAATGCCCCAGGAAGCTCCAAATATGCCGTTCTCACCAGCCGTGGGGCCTATGCACTCGGATACGCAGGAGACTGATGCAATTTGGCCATCTACAATCAACGAAGCAAATATGATCCCCTGGATTGATGTCTACTTTGATCGGCTACATCCGACCATACCCGTCCTCAACCGGTCGTCCCTGTACACTTCAATGCTCGCACAAGAACATCGCAAGAACTCTCAGTTCGGGGCCATGCTCTTGTCACTATGTGCATTTTCGCTCACACAACCGATTGAGATTAATGAGCGGCCAACATCCTCATCCCGAGCTCTGCAGGCACGAGCTATGATGCATGAAGCCACCAAAATGCGAAGCTGTTCGGATTTTGGGGAGAACCCGACCATTGAAGCTGTCCTAACAAGTTTTTTCCTCTTTGGCTGTCTGTTTGGAAGTAACCAGCACAACGCAGCGTGGCTCCGGATACGCGAGGCACTCGATCTTGCGGCCACGCTGGGGCTGAATGATCCCGAGTCATATCATGATCTGTCTGGGGAAGAGAAAGGCCAACGACTACGAACGTACCTCGTCCTCTCTATCACGGAAAGGTAAGTAAATGACTGAGCCCTCTCAGAATCAACTCGCTGACCATAAATGTCAGAGCATATGCTTTGCAACACCGACACCCAATAACCTTCTGGGGGAAGCCAGGATTTACTATGCGGTCAGTGCATGATTTCATCCACAGCGCCACGCACAGCGTCGTCTCTGGCATTATAGTCCACAACGAGAAAGACGCCGAGGGAATGATGGGTCTCGCACGAATGATGGAATTATTCGATGCCATTGACGAAGATGTCATCGACTGCTGGAATCGCCGATGCGATATCAGCAATGGATACTGCCAGCGGCTCACCGAAGCCAAGGCAATCTCCATCCACCAGAATCTCAATCGAATCAACCAAGCCGAACGATATCGAGGCTATGACTGGTTCGAACGAGCCAAGGGAGGCCGTAGCGAAACCAGCAATGTCACATTTGCCATGGGTCTGCGAGAAACCCAAGCAGCGGACGTTTTCATCACCCAGAAATGGCTCCAGAACCGTGTCTGGCTCCTCTCCTCAACCCACGGGCTTCTGAGTGCCCACTCAGAACAACCCGAGCTAAGCTTCGGATATGCTGTATCCGTTGCTGAATCCACTCTCCAGCTGTGTCAGTCATTGCGGCTGAGCTCCATGGAAGCCCATGGCATCGGTCTGGTATGTAACTTGCTCTCATCTATAACCTGTAGATTCGTAGGTTTGGCTTGTGAACTTGGCCCCATACTAACAACTCGATATCTAGACCGAAAAACTGTACGATATCGCAATTTGCGCAACAAACATCCTATGCAACACAAGCTCGCCTTATGGGGGTCCTATGAACATGCCTGTCAACTTCACCGAAAGACTACCACCAACTTCAACTTGCACGCCCCAGAGTCTCGCAGAAGACTTCTTGTTGCTTATGACCAGCTTCCGGGGTGGAAACCATCCTTATCTGGAGAAGTATAGAACTCATCTACGCTCGCTACAGATTCTGGAACCCAAAGCTCCGGGGTGGGCGCAATGATGAGGTTTTTGATTTGGTCTGAGTCGTGATCTTTCCAAATCTTTATACGAAATAGATCTTCGAGATGTACGATTTACTTTTTTTTTCAACCGGATTGGCTCATATTATACATGGAAAGGTCCACGGATCATTTTCACTCGATTATACAGTTTACCAATAGAGCAAGTTTAACTATAACCAAATTTATATATGTCCATGGTCGCCGACGTATGATGCGAAAGAGCCTGATATAGAACATACTGGGCTGTGAAAAAGTGTACAGTGTGCAGTGTGCAAACCGACTCTTATACTTTGAATACACAAGAATGGTTGTCGCTTATACGGCCTTGTGATGTCTTTCGGGTGGTCTTTTCAGATATTCTCCCCCTTCTCAGTTTTATAGTAGATAATCTGTCGACCTAATATACAATATATATTTCACAGAACTTATATCTTACGTAGAAACTGAAAAGACCTCATACAAGGTGGTTAAATTACCCCTAAGTAGAAAATTAATACCCCAATGCCTCCAAACCTACCCCAGTTGTGGTTTCAGAGATGTTACCCGTCAATTTCATCGTCACTACTTGGTGCTACATCGCGGCCCTAGATGGGTTCCTCCTGGCCTGGTTCGTCCTCAATCACGGGCTTGTCTACGGAGTCTTCGCGGGCGCTTCTCTCCCTGTATTCCTGCAGGGCCCGGACAAGAAACTCAGCTTCAGACTGAGAGACCTGCCCTAATCTCGAAAACAGGTCAAGCTGGTCCACGCCAAGGCTACCCCCAGTAGTGGTAGGACGAGGGGGAAGAAACAGGGGGGCGGCATTGTGATAGGCGGGCTTCCGATCTAAGTATAGATTGTCAGTATATGTCTCGATCGGCTCTTGGATGTATGCACATACCTCGGCGATTTTGGTCACCACGGTGGTGACGTCGGGCCTTCTTGTTGGGGTTGGCGTTTGGCTTGTATCAAAAATTCATTAATAAAGTGACCCCTAGTTGGAATGCTCTATAGGGTCCCTACCTGGGGGGGGGGGGGCTTGTGTGCCTCCACTATGGCGACGTGAGCAGCTATGACTGTATCCCTCAGACAAGCGGCCCAACGGCGACATTCTTCTCGAGTGTGCCCGGTCATCTCACAGAACGTGCACCATTCCTATTATCAATGGTCAGTCTATGCATGGGTTCGACGCGTGTATTTGACTTACGGCGGCTCGTTTTTTTGCCTGGGTTCGGCATCGCAGTTTATTCTCAAAGGAAGGAGACAAGAACGAATAGAAACTGGCTTTTTGGTTGTGAGAGAAGAGACAGGAGAGAGAAGATAGAAGATAGAAGATAGAAGAGAAAAGAGAAAAGAGAAAAGAGAAAGAGAGAGGGGGGGGGATGGTCTTGTCTCAGGACTTCATCCGAAGTGGTAGGACTTGGCTCTTCCCTTTGAAGGCTTAAGCAGGCTTTATTTGAAATCTACAGGATCGAACACTTGGGAGTTTTCATCATAACTCATAAAGGGGGAACCCATTTTGTTTCTATAAATCATGAGAGCATGTTCGAGATAGCATATATCCGTGTCGAGGTGTCCTCGCTTGCCACCGCCAATTCAAACTGATCCTTGGTATCCGCCTCTGCAGCTGGCACTGGTCGCCATGCTAATTGAGTAATTGTCTTTGAGGGCGAAGTAACCTTGTCAATTGTCACAATGTGCTGTGCTTCGAAAGTGTCCGCAGCGATTCCGTGAATAGAGATGACACCGCTGTCCTCGCCGACAGCAATAACATATGTGCCTTTGTATGTTGCGGGCAAGAAAGCAATTGCTGAGACTGCTGATGTCAGAGCCACGGTCGTTTTGCAGACGAAAGTGTCTTCGGACTTTTGCCAGATCTTCACGGATTTGTCACGTCCTGCCGTGGCAAAGACATGGTCTGTTGTAGCTGGAGCCCAGGCTGCACCTAGGATCATTCGAGAGTGACCCTTGGGATTGATGCTGAGCTTTGTAAACGTAGTTGGGTCTGCATCGCTCCGCTGGAAGACTGCCCATTGGCGATCTCGTCCAACACTGAGAAGATAGCGGTCGTCACTCGAGAATGAAAGGTCCGTGATGGTCAACGAGTGGGCAGTGAGAGAAGGCTTGATCTCGTGCCAGTCCGATGTATCATAAAGGCGAATTACCGCGTGGTCAATCGAGCTGGCCTTGCAGGCCGTAGCAATGAGCTTGCGATCATGACTCACTGCCACTGCTGAAATCTCATAGCCATGGCCATAGAGCTTCTCATGCTCTGGCCACAATGTGTAACGTGACAACTGATCTTCCAGTGGCGGGTGGTCGGCAGCTAGCAAGGAAGAAGCGACTGGTGCCTCAGTTGGGGCTTTTTGGCCATCCTC